ACTGGGAAAGGGTAAAAGCACCAGTTAACATTAAACTCTGAGAAACCCTAAACTTCATGTTGTAACCTCTAAGGCAGCCACCAAAAGAAGAGTAAAATGTAAATAACTTCCTAGTAAATAGAGATTAAAAGTAGAATTGAAAAAAAGTAAATAAATCCAACGAAGCAAGAATGGAGGGGAAAAGGAAATGGAGCAAACAGAAAAAATATAAATCACACAGTAATCACATAAACCAATACATCAATAATCACAGTAACTGTAAAGCAATGAAATGCTCCCATCAAAACAAAACAAAGAAAAGTGACAGGCTAATTTTAAAAAATAGGCCCCAAGAAAGGGAAGTTAGAGTTCATCTCCTCCAAGTTATCTCTAACCTGAAACTATCAATATACAGCCACACAACTTCAGTGTGAACTTGTAAACCAAAAAAACCTCTCTGTATCGCTGTCCTAATCCAGATAATTCTCTCCTAATTCAGATCCTTTGCCTCCAAATGTTAGAATCCTTTCATTATTGAGCCAAAAAATTCATCCTAGTTTTACTTTATGGAGGCATAGACAATATGCCTATCTCTTAATTCCATGTCACAAGAATCCTTCAAATACATGAGGATGACTGCCTACTTTCTCCTTTTACATAGTCCAAGTTGTTTTCAAGAATTTTTGCATGAGCTTCCTTTTTTAATATTATTTATGAAAACAGCAGCCTCCTTTAGATTGGATTCGATGATCCGGCTTGTTGAGTTATCTTGAGATTCTGCTTCAGTTAGCCATCGTATTGGCACTTTATTTTCATATCAGCAGGAAAGGATAGGAGAGCATGGTTTCTGTGTTTCCAGCTTATTCAAGGAGAAAAATATTGAATAGAACAAACCTGATGACAGTGCATCAAAGTAGACATTGGAGAAGTTTTCCTAAGTTGACCTTGATCCATTAATTAGCATTCTGAAAATCCAATCATTTAAGCATTAGTAAAAAATGTAAATCAGCAATAGCAATAAGAAATAAAAATCAATAGCCAGTTCACATGTCTCCAATTTGTCTGTGAAGTCAGCTTACGATTGTTAGACATCTTGCTGAAATTCAGATGCCTTAGATCTACTTGTCAGACTAGACTTAACAATCTCAATAGTGATAGTAAATCTCATTTCCATTTGTTTATGGGGAAAGAGATGCAGGTACAAAATGCAAGCCTGCCATTTTAGATTGTTTTAGTACAATAATTTATTTAGCTGCTAGGCACATCTATCTATAGGCACTGAAATTGCAGGACCTTACTTTCTAAGAAGATGACACACTGAAATGTGCTGAATCTTAGAACCCCTGGAGAAACCCAGCTAGTCTCACAGCTTGAATAATAAATAGGTAAAACTAGTCAGAGCCTTCAGAGGCTCATAGGCCACTGAAAAGCAAGTCAAACTAGATGAAATTCTCCTATACTCCATAACTCTACAAAGAGGTTCATCTGAGGCTCAGAAGATCTCAGAATCTAGGTGAAGATGTTCCCTGGGGTACATGGTTATAATGATACCACAACTCTAAAGTCCTTCTTAGCGAATTGGTATCAGGTAACGGACTCCTTTCCTAGGGAGATCTCCATGAGCCAGAATGCTTTCTACTGTATGTAACAAAAATCCCAATGCAAACTGACTTGAAGAAATTCAATATTTCACCAAATTCAAAGTCCAAAAGGCAGAGCAGACTTCAGGGTTGGTGGATTTCTTAACACAGTTCTGTCATCAGCAACCCAAGAATTATGGCACCATTCTACTTGCAAGAAAAACAGAATCACCACAATTGACCTAAAATTGCTTACTGGGTTTAACAGATGTGGGTGAATCAATCAGTGTCCATCACAGGCTTTTTGAACCTTGAATGAACTCCTAGGTCCAAGCCAGGATTTCCTTCCTAACTTTTGAGAGCAATGAAACTGAAGTTAAGGGTAGAAACTGGCTGACCTGAGCGTATCTAACAGGATGTAATTTTACCCACAGCTACATACCTATATACAGTCCCATGGAGATTCTCTAACATAGCAGTAACATAGTTCCTGAATTCTAAACGGAGGCCTGCGGTAGGTGTGGTGGCAGGGCACCAGTTCCACAGATATGATGTTGGAGAAAAAGCCTTTCTTTTCTTTCATAAGTTTGTGGTGGGAAATCTACCAGAGGGAAGGACCTGATTTTAATCAACTAGCCTAATTTTAGCCAATGGTAAAACATAAACGTTCAATTCTCTATTTTATTTTCCTTTCAATGATGAATTGAGTGAAGAGAAGCTGGAAGTAATTAATAAACTAAGGAATGAAGCACTGATTTCATCAAAGTGCGCTATCCTTACCTTTGATCATCAGTTTGTAACACTAGCTATATAAAATGGCAACAATATTTTTTAAATTTAGTTCTTACATATTGAGGTGTTTTTAAAAGCAGTCAGAAATATTTTTGACAACTGAATTTATCACATATACTGAAATTTACAATGTATGCTAAAAAGAAAAGCTATTGGATGAATTACTGAAAATGAAACATTGATTTTACCATGGAGTGATTTCAATGTTCTCAGACATGTACATTTGTCTCAGTCATGGGGACTACTCTTTTACAGATAAGAAAACTGGAAAGAAGAGAATTTCATTTCAAGAATAAGACGAATGTGAAACTTCTGTTGACTAAGAATAAAAACAGCCTTGAATTGAAGCAACTCCTATTCAAGCCACATATTTTCTGTCTTGTCCTATCTTTGGGTAGCATATAAATTTCTAAGAAACAGACAGGGAGAATGCTGGATTTACATACAAATGTTGGTGCTTTTTAGAAATTTAGCTATCCAATGCAGGAAAGCTATCTCAGGAGCTGGCAAAACACATTTGAATAATGGAATCTTGGGTTTAGAAAAGTCAATGTATCTGATGCTTGCATTGCATTCTATAAATAATTGCAAGTTAATTATTTTACAAATTAATTTTAATGCAAATATTTCAATGAAACTTTGAGACTCAGCCTCCCATGTGTTAATTTAGCTGATTATCCTTTGACCCCTCATAATTAGTTAATTTGCTCAATAAATTTGGTATGTGACAGGCAGGTACTACTCTAGGCATTGGGGACATAGCAGTGAACAAGGTGGGTACAACCTTGTCCTTGGGGAGATTACATTCTTGGAGTAAAGCAGGAAATAAATACACAAAAGATAATTTCAAGTAGCAATAAGGCAATGGGGCAGGATGATGTAATAGAGAGTGATGTAGGGATGAAATATGAGCTGCCAGAGAAGGCCTTTGAGGAGGTGAGACAGAAATGATGCAAGGGAGACAGCCATATGCACAAAAATCTTCACTCACTCCAATATGCATAATACATACAAAATGTGGACAAGTTTAGCATCTGTCTCAAGATGCTACAGTCTGATATCTGGATTGAGGGGTCACTGAGGGCTAAAGGAGGAAGTAGAAATTGCTAACTTCTATTTCCAGGTTTACTAGTCAGTTTCAATTACTATAGTCTTGTTAACCTTAAAAATAAAACATGTTTATTTTACCTCAAAAATTGGTTTATTTGGGAATAGCAGAGAATTGCAATTTGGGACAGGAGAAGCTAAACCAAACCATAGGCAAGTCTGGAAAACAAAGGAGAGTGATCTTTTATGGAGGAAAGGACCAACTGGGAGGGCTGTTCTAAGCAAAAAGTCTTCTGGAGTAAATGGGAGTCCCATGTAGTGTGGCTTCTCACTGGCTGAGTTGTGACAGTCTCTCATTGACTGGGCTGTTGCTGGGGGAAGAGGAAACTCTTACTGCTGGTTAATAAAGTAGCAGCTAAAGCAGTATGGACTTGCAAGGTCTTTCTCCTCTGGTTGTATCTGCTATTGACAAGACATGTTTTGGGTCCCAGCGCTCCCCCTGCTGGCCTTCCAAACACTGTCAATGAGGGTTCCCTTTATTAATTTTCATAGCCTCATCAAAGGCCCTGTGCAAATGTATCTTTGACTGCTTTCTTGTTTTTTGATTTTAAGTTGGGATACAAGTTATTTAACAACAGAAGTGGACAGTTTCTGGTCTTTCTCAAGCCTCAGACACATATTCTTTAAATACTTCCATTTGTTCTCACTGTAACTGTGAAATTGTAGCCATCATACAATGATGCTGCCGTCCAAAATATGCCAGTTGGTAAACTTTCACAAAAATGTATATACCAGAACACATTCCTGCAGCTAAACATTTCTCTAATTTTAAAACAAAACTTTAAAGCAAATAGAATGATTCAGGAAATAGTAGATTTTATAAAAGTTTATAATGGTTCAAAAAGTATGAGATAGCTCATATTGAACACAATGTTATTTACTTCTCAGAAAATGAGCCCAAAAATCACTCTAAGAGGACTGTTTCTTCTGAAAATTTATTATTTAACTCTAGAGATATCTGCAGATTGAGTTATTGGCAAAACTGGGATTTGAACCCAGGGAGTTTTAGACTGTGCTCTTAACCCCTAATCTTTACTCCATTGATTCTATTCTACTATCCTATCTCTACTTTAAGCTATTCTCAATAAATAGATGTCTTTGTATACCTAAGGAACAACAGGCTTGGACCAGCCCTGTTTCAGGCCTAATTGTTCTGTATAACATTCAGAACTTCCGAGATACTCTGAGAGACTGCGACTGAAGAGCCTTCCAAAGCACTCTTTTTAGGTGATCCATTTGGTTGTCTGGAATCAGTGGACTGGGTCGCAGGACTATTCACACCAGATTTCAACAAGGAAACAAATGTTGCTGAACCATGTCTATCTGGACCTTCCGACTCAGACCCCGCCATTGGCACCTGAGAGGAAACGCTGCTGCTGCTTTGGCTGGAAACAGACTGATCTCCATCACCTGTAGAGAGAGCCATTCTGACCCAAGGTGCCAGAGCTCCTAGTGGAGTTCCCATTACTCTCTGATTTGGTAGATGACTTAGTACATGTCGAGCTGTTTTCCTGCTGAGCAGACGCACGTTCTGTTTTGGCATAAGTTTTTGCATGATCTTGCTCAACTGCAGAATTGTTTTTTCCGTCTATGACTCACTTCTTCACCGGCTATTCTACCTCTTCTTGGCAACCAGTTCGTCTCTTGTATGGACTGGAGAATCTGTCACTTTGATGCCTTCAGCCATACTAAGTATTTTATCCATAACTTTTTGAGGGTACCGACACCCGAGGGAAGACGTGGTTTGCCCAGGCCTTGGAAAAGGAGACGAGCTGCTGCAGCTCCCGACTGTGGCTCCCGCCCTCGGCGTCCGCAGCTTCCCCCGCGTCCGCCCAGGCAGCGCCGCAGGCTGACGCCAGGTGCCCGGCGTTGCGGAGCAGGAACGCCCGGCGGTGGCGCCAGTGTTTGTCTGTCTCGCATTCGCAGCGCAGCGCCTCCAGCCAGGCGGCCCCCCGCGGGTTCTGGCTCGGGTGCTGCCCCGGGGAAGAGGCGGGGGCGCGGACCCTGTCACCGAGGCCTGCCCCGGCGGCCGGTCAAGAACGCCCCTGGCGAGGCCCGAACGCCAAACAACAGCGTCCGGGGCAGCTGAACCGCCACTCAAGACTGTGCGTTTTCTTTCATTGCTTTCAAGTATCAGATAAACATTTAAACTCTAAGTCATTAAACAGAGGAATCCCGTATTCTACAGGCCAGAATTCTGTTCTCCACTCTCCGGGGAAAATCTCTGTATTGGCCATTTTCAGTATTTCAAACATGCCCAGGTAGTAACTTTTTCTACGTATTGCCTATGGACTTTAGAATTACTACTAACTCTTGTCCACTTCCTACCACCTCATTTACTTACAATTCACTGATTCCATCTCATCTGGCATGTCCCTTGGTTCCACTTTTGTGCCATAGGATTGGTACTGCCAGAATCCAAGCCAAGGTGCCTCTTCACTGCAAACGTGTTTGTTGAGGGGAGTGTGGGAGGCAGAGGGCTGGAGAATGAAAAACAACCATTTCTTCATTCAAGTAATGTGCCCAAGGACTCCCAGATAATTAGTGTCAGACTCAAAACCAGGGCCCTTGACACTATTTACCCCGACGTTACCCTTCCTCCCAGACTCGGCTGAGTAGCTGAACTATGGGCACATCACAAGAACTGGGTCCAGCTTTGAAACACAGTCAAGGACAGAGTGCTTTGCGTTTTCTTTCTTACTCCCACCAGTTGCAAACTTCAAAACGAGCCTAATTTGAAAATCTTGGCCCTAAAGTTTTCTTCCCATCAGCCACACCCACCCATCCAGCCTTTCAAAGGTAGTATGAGGATAGGGCTGGCGACAAAGGGAGGGTGATAATTTGTCTTTTCTCTCCTTTCCTAGGGTCTTGCAGTTAAGATTTCTTTTTGGAGGCCCCTGAACGTGGTCGAGGAGGAAATGGACCCTTGCTCATACAAGCAGCGAAGTAGTATTAAATCTCTGAATAAGATTTCTTCAAAGGAGGCATAGTTGTATTGCTCAGTGAAATGCTGGGGTGCCATGTTAGCCCTACTCTAATATAATTTTCACTAAACTGGCTCACCTCCCACCAAGTCTGTTTTTGAGAGGCTTCTCTCTATGAGCAGCCCTCTCAGCTTTCCCCACAAAGAGTCATGGTAAGAGTGGAGGTCCAGCTGACTCATCCTTCCAAGAGAGTTTTATCATGGTGGTAGCTGCTTCTGTAGATTTCTCCTACAAATAATATACAGATAAGTCATTAATGAAACAATCTCTCTGGGCCCCAAAAAATCTAATAGGAATCCCTCTTTCCATGGATTTTTTAAAAAACACCCTTTATCTAGTCCAATAAATCCTTTGATTCCATCTGGATTTACAGAAGGAAAAAGTGACAGAGATGAGGCTTGGGCAGTCATGCTAATGCCACTGAACATGACAGTTGGTATCTAAGCTTTTGCAATTATATAATCATAATGTGTTTCTTCTGACCTTTGTTCATCTTCCCAGTGAATGGAAATAGTGTGTCTCAGTATTTATATGCCTTCTGCCAAATTGAAAACAGATTCTTTAAACGTCAGATATTGATTTAAGAATCTTCTAAACTCTGTATATTTTTTAGGAGGAGACCTGGCATATGTAAAAATAACTGCATGAGAAATCAGAATGCCTGGTTTAAAATTCCTGCTCTCACTTTGGGGCCTGTTACTTAATCCCTATAAAATGGAGATAATAACACCTAATTCACAAATCTGTAAATCTTAAAAAATGAGTGTATGTAAAGTCTCTGGCCTTCAACAAGTTTAGTTTTTTGGAACTTTTTCAATCCTAAACTCAAATGTATATTTGCTTTGATGAAGCTATTGCCAAAACTGCACTGTCCAAAATTCTAAATTATGAGAAGTATTTCCCCAGGAGTCATCTTTAGGTGATAGCTAGATGAATTAATGAAGAAATTACCTGGCCAATCCCTCATAACCTTTATATTGACTCCACATGCCTTCAACCAACCATCCCATTTCTTTGCTCCCTTTATAGAAAAATTCCTCAAAGTACTGTCTCTACTCATTACCACCTATTCTTTCTTGACATCTTTCATCAGTTTGGGGACATTCTGGGCCATGATCTACTTAAACGTTCCTTTCCCTGCTTCTCTCTCTCTCCTCCATCTGGACCATGTGTAAGGGATTCTGATATGACAGTATTTCTCTGTACTGAGTTTTCCTGAGCTGTAGACTGGAATGGAAAACACTCTCAAACTTGCAGGGCTTCTGAAAGCAAACTGTTGGGTCCCACACCCCATTCTGATCCAGGAGATCTGGAGGAGCCCAAGAATTTGCATTTCTAACAAGTTTCCAGGTAAAGCCAATGATCCTGGTCCAAGGACCACATTCTGAGAGCCACTGGAGTAAAGACTTCAGGATCTTATAACTCTCACATAAGTTAAATTCTCCAACCTAGCTTATTTCATCTTCTGACTTTATTGTTATATTTTGAAATGATTCAAATCTGGGCAGGAAAGACAGATGCCACCACTTACTGAACCCCTCAAAAGCCCAACAGCTGACATTTATTATTTATCATGTACCATTCATATCCTAAGTGCTTTATACATTTTACCTCATTAAATCCACATCATCCACATCAAAGCCCTAATGTCATCTCACTTTTCAATAGAGAAATTAAGACATCAAAACATTAAGTAATTTGCCTAGGTCACTCAATTCTAGAGATAGGAGAACCAAAGAAGTAAGATTTCAAAAACCAAAACCAAAGAAGTACAATTTCAGAGCTGTGGTTTTAACTACTAGATTAGTTTGCCTCTGTATTGAAATACAAAGGTCATCTGAATTTAGATCTATGTTAAGTAGAGCCACCCATCTTCCAGTGCAATTCTTCAAGACCTGTGTCAGGAGGGTGGCCATCACTGTCAATCACAGAAGCAGTTACAGATAATGTTAGTGACAATCTAAACTCCACTCAAGATACTATAGTGTTGAGCAAACAAATTCAGAACAAATATTGGAAAAGCAATTTGTATTTTTAGATTTCTAAAATGTTAAAGTTCTCATTCTATAAAAATTTATTGAACAATTTTACTTACTAGATAATTGAGGGATTTTAGGGTACTTACTATATAGCATACTTTTCTCTTTCCAGAGTCTGAGTCAATTGAGAAACAGATAGGCAGTGGATTAGTTTGCAAAGGCTGCTGTAATTATAACTAACAGAAAGAAGCAGGGAAACTTGACTTCAATAGAGGCAGACTTACAGATGGGCAGGATGTTAGAATTAGCAGATTAGCAGACAAGGACTTTAAAATAATGCTAGTGTATATGTTAAAGGATTGGGTAGAAAAGATGGACATCATACAGGTAGGGAATTTCATCTCAGAAACTGAAACTATAGAAAAGATGCAATTAGAAATGCTAGGACTAAAAAATACAATACTAGAGTGAAGATTTTCATTAGTTGGGCTTAATAGTAGACTTGACAGGAAGAGGAAAGATCAGTTAATATGAATACAAATAATCTAAACTGAAATGTAATGAGAAAAGTAAGTAGGAAAACTGAACAAAGCCTCTGTGACCTGTGGGCCATAAATCATCTAACATATGTGTACCTAGAGTCCAAGGGGAAGAGAAAAAGAATGGGGCAGAATATACTTAAAGAGATAATGGCCAAGAATTTTCCAAATTAGTTGAGGAAAAAACAAGAGCAATTCACAGATCCAGAATCTTAAACAGAGGGAGGGATAATGGCAAGAATTTTGGCTGACTCCTCGTCAGAAGGAATAGAAGCAAAAGACAATGGAACAGTATCTTCAAAATACCAAAACTAAAAAAAAAAATCTGTGAACCTAAGATTATCAGTGAAAATGTCCCTTAAACCTTAAAGTAGATACCTGTACAAACAAAACGTTAAAGAATTTACCCCCAACCGGTACTATAAGAAAGACTAGAGGAAGTTCTTTAGGTTTGCAGAGAAAAGATACCAAGTGGAAGCTCAAATCTGCAGGAAGGAATGAAGACTATAAATATGTACATAAACATTTAAAAAATCTTTAATACTTAAAAAATACTTATTGCATCACACATTTGTTAATTCCTAGAAAGAATTTTTTTAAGCAAAAATAGTAACACTGTATCAATATATTGTGGGGCTTATAACATACAATCTACTGTAGGGTTTATTATATGTGACAGTACAAGATAAGGAGTGAGAGGAAGGTAAATTGAATTATTCAATTATAAGTTTCTTACATTGTTTATGAAGTAGTTTGATATTATTGAAGGCGAACATATAATCTCTTAAACAATTATGGAAATAACTCAGAGAATTATATAACGAAAGTGTAAATAAAAAGGTATACTAAACAATAACAACAGCGAAACCAGACTTGACTAACCCAAAAGGAGGAAGGAAAAACAAACAAAGGAGCAAACAACACATGGGACAAACAGAAAACAAATAGCAATGGTAGACTTAAATGCAACCACAATAATTCATTAGAAAGCTAAATGATCCAATTAAAACATAAAGATGAATACACTAGATTTTCAAAAATGCACCAAAACTATTAGTAGACTATATTTTCATAGACACACCAACCCCACTCTGAGGTACTTACTTAAGAGAAATGAATGTGCATTTCCACAAACATATACAGTAATATTTGTAGCAAACTTATTCATAACAACCCAAAACTGGGAACAGAGCTGGATGATACATAATGTAGTCACCCATATAAGGGAGAAATCTAACAAGAGATTTTTTTTGGTCTTACAGCTTCATCATAATAGGCAGAGATATAAATACTCTGTCTTAAGCCTGGAAATGACCATTTCTTAGAGAAACTGGATACTATGTCACTACAGTCAATACTGGAACCCTCAGGGGAAATGGATATTAAGAAGTTTGAAAATGTTTGGTGAGAAAAAAATAAATGCACTTCAAATAAGACCTAGGAATTAGGACTGCTATTATTGCAGATGTTTAACTTTGCAAGAAGCAAAGGGTCTCAAACATCTTTTAGAAAGGG